GCCCAACAGCCCCTTCTGCACAGAAATCCTTCCTCAGAGCCAGCCTGACCCTGCCCTGGGCAGCTTGAGGCCATTCCCTCGGGGCCTGGCGCTGGGGCCTTGGCTCCAGAGACTCATCCCCCCTCTCTGCCCCCTCCTGGCAGGGAGTTGCCGAGGGCCAGGAGGTCTCCCCTCAGCCTCCTCTTCTCCAGACTGAACCCCCCCAGTTCCCCCAGCCGCTCCCCAGCAGACCTGTGCTCCAGACCCTGCCCCAGCTCCGTTGCCCTTCTCTGGCCACGCTCGAGTCACTCAATGGCCTTTTTGGGGTGAGGGGCCCAGAACTGAACCCAGGAATCAAGGGGCGGCCTCCCCAGTGCCCAGCCCAGGGCTCAGATCCCTTCCCTGTCCCTGCTGGCCACGCCAGCACTAACACAAGCCAGGGTACCATTGCCCTCCTTAGCCCCCTGGGCACACTCTGGCTCCTCACGGGTACACACTGGGTTTATGGCTGACCATAGGTCAGTGCCCTTTGCCGTGCTGCTGCTCTTCCCGTTGTCTATTTAAACTTGCGCATTTCGTTTCTCCCTCTGACGTCTGATACTTGGCATGTGATCTGCATTGGATTTCTGTTTGAGTGATTTCAGATCAATCCTCCAAATACCAAGGTTATTCTGAATCTGTCGGATTGCTTTTGATTTTCTTTTTGCCTCAGTCCGGATGGCATTCCATTAGCCGGGGCACACATGTGTCACTCAACCTGGGCCACAGGCTCTTCTCAGGTAGGTCATACCTGGGTGTTTTCCCCTGCTTGGCGCACGGAGTCACAGGCGCTTTAACGTGGAATTAGAGAATCACAGAATCATTTAGGTCGGACGTGCAAGTTGGATGTGCGTAAACCTGGTATCCTTTTGGGTGCTGGGTATGTTACTTGCTGTTCTGCCATACATTAACTATGTCTACGTGTCATTAGTAAGCCAGCAATGTAAAAACACTTTGCCCCAAACGGTGCGTGAAACCTCCTCAGCTTTAAAGGGAGAAGTGTGCGTGTGTGTTGCCCACGTGCTCTGCGGATGAGCCTTCACACCCACCGTCAGCCTGGAGTACAGAGGAACCGCGGAGTTTCAGCAGTCAGGTGTGCAGGGACGATGACAATGGATCATATTTCATCATTAAATTTTTTACTCCAGAACAATACCAATCCGTTCTCTCACCGAGCTCCCGCTGTTGTTGACAACAGCCTTTCCTGCAATCAGAATTGCGGTGTCGTTGCGTTATTTTCTCCAGCAAATTTTACCTGTCAGACAGTTGTTTTAGTTCTAGCGCTCCTTCTCAGAAACAAATAGAGAGTCATGATACACTTCGCTCT